GGATAGGTCTCTTGTGATACAATAGTGAATAATTACTATCAGAACTGACTGTGAGGGTTGGAAATGTAAAGGTAGACATTTTGTAGCAAAAGGAGGGGAGTGGCTGACTTTGCAGTCCAGGAGCAGAGGCCCCTGCGGTCATCAAAGGAGAAGAGCAGAATGTGGGACCCTGCCCAGAGAAACAGTGACACCAGAGATGGAGGCAGAGATGATGACGTGGAGAGAGGGAGCAGCTGGGAACTCTAGACCTAGAGAGGGAGAGGGGCTGTGTGCTGACAACCAGGGGGCAAGCTTGAGGGGTGTACTATTTGGTTGGTTGATGATGCATGGAGGGGATTGTAGCCATGGCAATGTAACGATGTACAATAGGATAAATGTAAAGTTAATGTTCTCCCATGTAAACTATCACATAATTCACAAGAAAACATTTTAAATAAATAAACCCAGCACCACCATCTACTGGCTGGCTACTGAGCCCTCAGGTAGGAGTACTGACCACTCTGAGCCTCGGTATCCTCTGTCAAATGGAGAGTTTGTTTTAAAAATGAAGAAAAGATTAGTAAAGCGCCAATAACAGAGCTTGGCCCATAGTAAATGTTCAACAAATGCTGGTTCTTCAGGTCAGGTGAGGTGGGAGTGCTCACGAGTCTCTCCTGGCAGCAGAAATACCCAGGCAGTCAGTCAGAGTGATGCTGCATTGACCAGCTGCACACACGCACCTTCACATGCCACTCCATCCTCCCGGCTGTGCTCGGCACTTCCTCCCCGCTCAGCGTCTCAGGCTCAGTGATTTAGTGAAAACACTGAGGTGCAGATCTCACAGATCCATTTAACTCCAAATCCTGTGCTCATATAACTCCTTGCCCTAGCTTTTCTTCTTTTTGGTATGTTTTGCAGACCCTAAGCAGTGATCCTGGTGTGGTGCTGTAGGATAAGCACTGGCCTGCTAATCACAAGGTCGGAGGTTTAAACCCACCAGCTTCTCCTCGGAAACCCTACATAGGGTCGCTATGAGTTGGAACCAACTCGACTGCACTTAATCAGCACCATACAAAGCAGTGCCACAACTTGAATGTATTGGGTCATTACCGTCCAATACATCAAATCTCTTATGATGCTCTCTAAATTCATGTGGGATATAAAATATCAGCTATATTTTGGCTCTTGGACTTGTTTGAATTTTCTTCAGCTTCAACTTGAACTTGCATATAAGTAACAGATGTCTGTTTGGTACATGGCCCCTGCCTAGTTTTGGCTGGTATTGAGCATCTTCATTGTCTCTTTCCACAGATGTAATGGATTTGATTTCCATGTATTCCATACAGAGAGGACCACAAGTTGTGAGATGACACCATACACAAAGAAAGCAAAAGGGTTTGAAAAAGAAGGTGTAAGAAGAGACTCTCAAACTTCCTCTTGAATGTACAGTTGTTGTTGTTAAGCACCGTCGAGTTGGTTCTGATTCATAGCAACACTACATAGGGTTTCTGGGGGTACAGCTAGTGGGTTTGAACTGCAGACCTTGTGGTTTGCAGTCCAGTGCTGATCCTAAAGCGCCACACCAGGAGTTCTGAATGCAGAATTGCTAAGGCAAATGGAAGAAATGATAAAGTAAAAAAGATGAAGACAAAGTATTAAATGAGAGGGGGGAAAAAAGATGATGACACAGTTTCAAAGTAGTATAATGAAATGTACAAAGATCTGGAGCCAGAAAACCAAAAGGGAAGACCATGCTCCACATTTCTCAAACTGAAAGAACCAAAGAAAAATTCAAGCCTTGAATGTTCAAGCATTTCAGCTGGTAGTATATGACCAAGAACCAATGATATTAGACCATCTGGAATAGCTAGAGTGACAGATGACACATCTTTAAAAAAAAATCATCAGGAAAAAAACCAAAACAAAAATGGCAGCATTACAGGCTACTACAAGAATAAGCAGGTTGTTCACCAGGAAGCAGCCATCAAGGCAAGCAATCAATTTCCTTCAGGACTAACCGCCCTTTAAGACTGAAACTCAAAAGGAGCACATGAGCAGGCATGTAAACTTGCTAGCAACCACATTGGTCTACTAGTGAGTGGAAGAGAGGGAAAGGCAGCAATGAAGAAATAGGTTGAGTTCAACCATGTTCCCTAGACTCCGATTGACCTGGAGATGAGAGAGAAGAGGAAGGGCTGGTTGGTCCAAAGCGTGGTGAGACCTGAGGATATTTGAGCCCATGGACAAGAAGGACTTAGCCACAGAGGGCTAGAGCTGACAGTGAAGAGAGCTGATATGAAGAGAGGAGAGATGCACAAGAACACCCAAACTTGCAGATAGTACCCACTTGACCTAGCCTCAATGGCTTGATAATCAGAACTTGACTAAAGAAAAAAAAGAAAACAATTTTTGATAAAGGAAACGAGGGTAAATTGCTACAATTTGATGATGAATTTGACCTATACTCATGGAGGTAGTAGCTCAAAATACCAATAGAGAGGGAAGGAGTCTTCACATCAATCCTATCCCCTCTGTATACAGGTACAGGGTAGATAGGGACGGGCAACTTAGACATTGGCTACCTAAAATGAGGGGCCAATAAAGGCATGAAGTGACTGGCTTACAAGGTTTCAAAGGAAGTTTAAGAGTGTGTGGGGGAAGAGAGAGTCCCCACTGAATAGTTTTCATCTTGTCTAGATGGGTCTGGTAAAAAGATATGGGGAGACAACATGAATATAAAGTAGCTCTTCCATCTACTTCTATATTTATGTTTATAGAATGGGAAGCTGCATTTCTGAGAGTTAAATTACCTTAACCAAAGCCACCAGCCAAGTGTCAGAATGTGAATTTGAACTCAGATCTGTCTAACCTATGGTTTTCCCACTGTTTTTGTTGTTAAGTACCATCGGGTTAGTTTGAACTCTTAGTGGCCCTG